AAATTTTAAAGCTTAATTTAGTTCATGTCTTCTCCTAAAATTAATAAAAGTTTATTTTAAAAGTAAAAAAACCCAAATATTTATTGAAATAATTATTACTACACAAAAGTATTTTACTTCAAACTTTTTGTAGGTATATAACAGTGCATAAGTTAAAAAGAAAATTTAGTAAAAGATATAAATGAAATTTATTGCTATATTAGAATCGGTACTTTATTACCATTTACACAATTAATTGCAAATTTCCATCTATATTTTTTAATAACTATTTTAAAAAAAAATTACAAAGTTTTAAAAACAATAACAACAAAAACACCTATTCAGGTTGTACGCAGTGCCAGCAGCCTGTGAATAGTAATTTTCCTGAAAATGCTGTAAATGCTGGGAATGGAGTTCCGGTGACAGGTACAGATGCAAACGGTTGTACAACCTACACCTATACCTGCACATGTGGTCAACAGGGTGCTTGTGGAAGTGTTTATGTTAATGCCATAAATCCAACAACCGGCCAAGCTTATCCAACTCCTCCAGCAACCGCCAATACTGTTGTGTTGACAATGACTTGTGGTAACGATGCAACTTGGACTGGAACTTATACAGCAAACGGCGGAGCTGCAACAGCTGTTATTCCAAACATACAGTCGGTAACCTGTATAGGAACAATATAATACTAATAAAAAAATATCAAATATTTATCTGACTTTGTAATATTGATCCGTCTTTTTGACTAAATAAACCTTTAGAATAAATAATAGTAATGGATACACAATAAAAATCAGAAATAATAATGCATAAATGACTTTAAAAAAGTTATGTCATTTTTATTTCTTGTAGTTTCACAACTAATATTTATTAGCAGTAAAAACTGTTTTCCATACAATTTTCAAAAACATAATTTATCTATCAATAGGCTGTTGTATCACATCACCACTTATAATTCCCAAACCAAGGTTGCTTAATTTCTGCTATCTATTGAAGATAAACAAAGAAATAATACAGCAAAAAAGCGTAAATCAAAATTGAATCAATAAAAAATTTTAAATTACTCGACAGATAACTGAAGTATAGACAAAAGCTATACTTTTATATTTTTGATGATAAATAAAGACAAATAAGAAACAACATAAATAAGTTTCATATAACTAGAATAAAGACAAAATTAATAAACTGGAATACTCTACTGAAGTTAACAGAAGGTCCTTTTATGAATTTTAGTTACCAGAACCAGATAGTACAGGACAGCGTTACTTCTAAGGCTCCTGTAAAGAGCAATAAAATTGAAAACATGTTTCATAAAGGAAACATATTCTCCGGTTCCTCTTATTCTGCACTCGTTTCAGTGTAAAACATGCTGTTGGTTTCACGGGGAAGAGTTTCCTAAATTTTAGCAACGTACTGTCTCTAATGTAGAAAATGAATTGAAACCCTTGCCGATTGATGGCCCCAGCGCGGTGATTCGCTAGCTGATTTTGGCGAGAAAATTGAAGAAGCGAACAGTGAAGGGGAAAGCAGCAAAGGGAGAGCTCACGGCAAAAAACGGAGGAGTACAGCAGCGGCAGCACACGAGCGCTGATTGAAGCGAAGACATTCATAATGCCACACTATTGCCGTTACTCCACAACTTACCTCAAACCTGCGTAATTAAACATCTTTTGCATCACTGGCTTGACTACATCGTTTTGGCTATCTTATACTGCATCTCGAAACTCTCCAGCAACCTCTTCTCATTCGCGCTGCTACAAAAGGTCAAACCCCTTCATAATGACTCACAGTTATTCATAAATCTGCGACCGCGAGTCACGTGTTGACAGCGCCAGAAGGTGGCTTCTTAGTTTCCAGTTAAGGATGACGCGGTAGAGATATCACATGAACAGTTTTAAGCTAAGACTAAATTTTGTTTTAGTAGAAATCGTTTATCTGTCGTTGGTCTTCGTGAGGTAATGGCGGACCAATGGAACGCTCCTTGCAGTAGCAGTAAAGTGATAGAAAAACAGCAACTTTTTGGAGGCATTGGGCAACGGAAGAATAAGTGTTTCATCGTTTTAGTGAAACAGTGAGATGCTGCAACGCTTCTGTAATTGGTAGTTTTGGAAGAAGCTTGTATCTCACCAAGGGATGACAAGTAGCACCATCAAGGAAGTACCGCAAAAGCATCAGCGCCAGCCTGTTGATCACACTCTCTACTGCATTTATCCTGAGTCCAGTGGTTGCACAAACATGACTGAGTCTCACTACTCTGTCCTGCTTCTCAACAACCTCTCTACAGTCCTGTCGTTATTACAAGTTAAACCTGTTTGCAACGGCTCACTACTATTTGTAAACCTCAAATGCATGAAATTTTCTTGCTGATTAACAGGCGGACTTTACAGTTCTCAGTCGAGATTTGACACGATCGACGTGCCTTCTCAATTTTATCAAGCAGCGACGACGGTGACGCCGCTCTCATTGCAGATTCCGTTGACTCCCCATCCAAGCGTATCATACATATGGGGCCATCAATGTGCAAAAGTTACCACATTTGTTTATTCAATTGCAATACCCAAATTTAATTTACTACCGTCAGTTGTCTGCTTTGCTCCCTCACTTGTTCTTCACGTTTCATTCCCGCGTCCACAGATACGTTCCAGTACGAGCGCACTTCAACCTCTAAATTTATTCAACCCAAATTCAACGTTTTCTCAGTGAGTAAAAATAAGCAACAAATATTTTGAAACTGACATCCAGGTGCATTTGCGCCTTTTAAAGTTTAATTAAGTGGAAAAAAAAGACTAGGAACACGGCAGACGCTAGTTATCCCTATAGCTTTTCAAAAAAAAACCTCCAAAATAATCACTGTATAAATGTTTAACTGTTTTCTTTTTGTCCTTTCTCTCAACAGCAAACCAACAATTTTTGTAGATGTTAAGAGGATGTCTTTTACATACAGAAACCAAAAATTAAATGCGTAACTCTTAAAAAGCTGTTTGCTAATACATATTTTACTACATACATACATCACAAACTCTTGAGACCTACGCTTCTTTAATTCCGTTTTTTGAAGAAAACCCTCGACTGTTTCCTTTCAAATAACCTTTTTCAAAATTTTGTAATAGCTTTTACTATTGTTCCTGAATAATTAAGGAATCAGGACCAGATGTTTTGAAACCAGAAACAAGCAATTACAACAAATTCAAAGCTTTAATCGTTGGAGAGAAATACCAAGAATCTACCACAAGCTTTTCACGTCGGCTACAGCAAAGCAAGTTTATTCGCTTGTCCAAGCATTGTTTCTACTCAACGCTAGTCGACCTTACACACCACCATGATGCGCCCAATAAATCTTCTCCTTGCAGAATTCTATCCGTTCACATTGCTGCCAAATTGGATCACAAATATGACCACATTTAGGTGCACATAGCTAGACCCGCAGTGTAATAGAGTGGATTGAAGTACACTCTGCAAAATATGTGCGGCACCAACTTTTGTGACAACTTTTGAGTTCTGCTTTTGAAAAAAGTGAAAGCGTATTTGAAAAACTTTTTTTCTGCTTGTGTCAAGTTTTCAAAGAATTTTTAAAGCTTATTTTAAGATTATTAAATTATTAAGCTTATCTTCTCCCTGGTGGGTATGGCTTCCTGCTGACATGCAGCATGACTAAACTGGGGCAGGTAAACAATTCTTTTTATAAATGTTACCACTCAAGTCCCGACGGCTTTACGTGCAAAGCTATAGCGGCGTCGTCGACTGTACCTCATAAAGAATGGGAAGAATGCATCTAGACTTCTTCACACTCTCAAAAAGATAAAAAATGTAGTGATTAAATGATTTAATAAAGCTACATACGCTTACGCGGAGAGGAGGGAAAACCAAAGCATTTGAGAACTGTTGAACCTAACCGGTCAGTTTACTTAATCTCTTGTGCTCCAAAGGCACAAAAGCAGCTCAATTTTAGCAATGTCGTCCTTTATGTGAAAGAGTTTCCAAAAAGTTGACTGCACTAAGCAGAGTACTGAAAATCCAAGAGCTTTCTTAGAACATATGTTTTCTGAGGAAAAACTAATAACAGGATAACACTTGAAAATTAGGGACTATAAATAATAAAGCAAGTCTTCTCTAAACAGCTTTCTCCGCGTGAATTGTACAAGATACCTTCTAAAACACGACTGATGCCAAACAAGCCTTTTTGTATTATTTTTTTTTTTGTAAGCTATAACTACATATTTACAATCGCGTAGCAGGCATCATTTCTATTATTAGGAGGTATAAATTCTAATAAACTACAGACAGAAATATTTGTTGCAATAGATACCGTCTTTCTTGATGAGTTCTATTGCTCAGCTTCAAATATTTGTAATGCCATTTTTAAATAATCTGAAAGCGTTTTAAATATCATTGATCTTTGATTAAAAAAAAAACTTTTTTACATTTTTTGTCTCATTTTTTTAGAGCTCTGAATCGAGAAGTCGCAGTAAGAAGAAACAACAAATTTTGATTTAAAACGAAAAGAATCGCGACTTCAGAAAACTTCTACATTCCGATTTTTTATATACTTTGTGTACGTGTGTTGAATATTGCTCTGTTTAACAACAATTATCAAAGGCAGCCTTAATGCCTGCTTGCTAGCCTTGTTGCTTGAGAAATTAGGTTATATAAATCACGAACAGTTTTGTCATCAAATACTACTGAACCAGCTCTGTTGCGAAAGCAAGAACGAAAAAGTTTCCAATTTATCCAAAGTTGGCCGATTTAACAGTTTGCTATCACAGCAGTGCTGAATGCAACTGAATATGAAAGACAATACAAAATGTTAGACAAGATTTTTTTATTTATTATTAAAACTTAAAGTGCTATAATAAAAAAGAGATAAAAAATAGTAAAACAGAAGATATTTTACAGTTATATAAAAATAGGTGTACTTACGTTTAGTTTGATGTGATTTTGAAAATTTTGATTTATTGAATGTGTAAGATGAAACAGTTCTAGAACACGCTTTGCATATACCTCGTATGAGCGAAGTCAAGATACTGTTTAGCCGACGTAAATTAAAAAGAAATACTTTGCATTTTTTATTGTGAAAAAGCAGTTCTAATAAACACTAGCTGTCTTTTTTTTTAACTTTTTTTTTTGTTTTTTTACTGCTTTATTAATTAATTGTAGGTTAGATAATGGTGTAGTTGAAAATTAAATTTATTTCCTGTTCAAAATTTCACTTTGTTTTTAGAGCAATCTCTAAACTTTTTTCTGCGATAACCAACTATAATTGGGTGTTGATACGGTTGCCAAATTAACTGTACTCAGTGAAACGGTAGCTGGATAAATTGAATAACTTATAGTTTTTTTCTTAATCGGCAGTTGTTTCTCTTAACTGAATAAAAAACCTGTTAACAAGTAACAAAAGAAAATTTTTTTTTTCAGCAGTATATAGATATTATCAAAAGAAATTTTTTTTTGATAATGTTGTAATGTGCATACACTGTGTGTGTATTTCTGTGACGACAAAGGATTATCAACGTCGACGAAACGTATTTTGGAAGAACTTCAGAAAACTACTAAGATAAAAGGAATTTTCAACAGCTGTTAGGATAAACTGCTCAGCTCAGCTGATCATTGTTGACCATATTTTGTTGCTATTCTTTTTTTTTTTTAGATTTTTCAATTATTGGTATACTTACAGCTAAAAGAAGAAGAA